GTTCAAAATTGTTTTGTTATTCTGTAATTTGTTTTTAGTTTTCGGGAACTCAGTTCGCTTTCGACTCTTTGAGATTCTGGACTTCGTTGATTTTTTGTGAGTGGGTGTAAATAATTTTCTAGAAAACTTTGTTTTGACTTTCATTTATATATTTTTTATATTAATTTGTGCTGAAAACGTAAAGTAAGCGAAACGAAACGTGAGTTCAGTCCTCCTTAGTTGTTCAGGACTTGATGTCTTAAATTATTATCCCTTGTAGAGTTTGAAATAATAAAATATGAATAATTCATTTGCATTAACTTGAATTGTCATAGTTTTTAATTTTTAAAAATGTTCCTAAAAATATTTTTCAATATATTTTTAGTTTTGAATTTAGATCTTTCTTCATTCTAAAATTTAACAGTAAACCTGTTTCCTTTGCAAATTTTTTCTTCTAATTTTTTTAAATTTAAATCTTGTGCAGGTTTGGTGCTTGATTTTAAATTTGCTTTTTGATCCCTTTTAAAAATTTATTCTTTACTATTAAACTGTTGCTTTAATTCAAATATATATACATAAATATACTGTTGAATGGAAGTTTTATAATATCTACATTAACTTCTTTCCTTCTCCCCAAAGTTTACATGTCACTGTTGTTCATTGTGTCAGTAATTATGAAACAAATGATGACAGCAAATCCATTGATGTATTACTGGTCATTCTGGTGTTTGCCGTTTTGGCAAGTTATTTCTTTGCAGGCTAGTTTATTTCCTTCCGTAATATTTTAAATTTAAATTTTCTGTATAGAGTTGTTTACAACATCTAAATTGTTGCATTAAATTTGAAGATATCGTCTTCAATTCGTCTGCCGGCTGTATTTGCCAACAAATTTTATGAAATACCCGGAAATTCAGCGATTCTTGGAAATTCCTTAAATCTACTTCTATCTGGAGCATATGGGAACAGTGCGAGCGAAAGTTACAAGAGATTTCTGCAATCTTTACCCTTTCGAAATATTACTGTGGAAAGGAGACTGGGTGAATTCAATCAAAGAACTGGCGATTTAACTGAAACTCCTGAAATCAGATTTATGTGTATTTTCTAAAGGTCTCTGTCTAATGGCCTATACTCCAAGGGACGAAAACTAAAAGCCCCGTTCCCGTCTCTCATAATACATAAAGACTTTTAATTGCTATTAATTGCAAACAATCATAGAATTCCGACTGTTATTTATTTATTTTTAAGGATTTTTTCTCCTTCACACGTTCAGTTTTAAAATTTCACGATGGTCGTATTTTACGTATTCCAAATAATTCTTGCAGCGAGTCCAAACATTAGTATGCCGATCAAGATCGTAAAAGTTACCTTTTACGAACTTGATTTGCATGACAACGTTTAATCCGAAACTTCTGGGATCTCATTCGTCTAATCTGTAACTATCTCTTCCGTTTCATTCTTTACAACGTAGCAGGCTCATGCGTTAGAGGGTAGTGCATATATTTCAGAAAAAATGATCAAGTGTGTGAAATTGTATCTTTAAAAAATGGTCATCCTTAGTTTATTGTTGATGGTTATTTGATCTGCAAAGACAAAAACAAAGGTGATTTGTTATTCGCGTTGTTTTCTTCGTGTTGGGAGAAGCTCAAAACGTTGTATTGTGAACAGTATGCGAACACCGTACTTGTAGATGAACAATATCTTTGGGAGTAAAGGGAATCATGCCATTGATACTTCAAAAAATTGTTGCTGTAGATTGTGAATTCATATAGGTTATTCAGCATAGGTTATTCAAAATTTGATGTTTCTAGTAACCCACTTTTTTTTACAATGCAAGAAAAATACATACATTCATGCAGATTCTTTATTATTTAATTTATTTAAATATAATACAGGGCTATAATATTTGGTGGCAACAACTTAAAAAGTGATTCCCCGTTTATAGTGAAACGCCACAAAATGCCGTTCTGAGACTAATAGCCCTTCTGGGCTATCACACCTTTTTTTTTTTTTTTTTTCTAAAAACGAGATACGTAAAAATAGGTACTTTCACAATATTTTAATTAGGAAAAGGCAAAAATTTATTCATGAACTGAGGAAAATACTCTAATCCCCATTGAAAGTGAACATGCCAGCGCAGAATTAGAGAGTAGGCAAAAAAGCATCCTTTGTAGCTGTTTCCATATATATGTGTGTGTATTCCAAAATAAGGAAAAGGAGTAAAATTCCTGCAGAAGCGTTATGGTTCTGAATTTCTTTTTTTTTTAAAGCTAACTAGGTTTACTCTTTCCTTCTCCTAGTATCTCTTTCTATAGTATCTCTTTTTTTCTTATAGTATCTCTTACCTTCTTCGGAAAATATATACACTCTAAAGTTAAGCTTGAAATTAATTATTGTACAATTTGGAGATACTTAATTAATAATTACCAATTTCGCTTCGGTTAGTATTCATTTGGTAATAAAAATGTCTGGCAATATCATATTGAATTTATGCTTTCAAGCTAACTAGTGTTTCGAAATAGCCCTCTAATGTGTGAACACAATCAATGATTACTACTCTGTTTATACAATACGAATTTTAATCTTGGTATATAGTCTGTGTAACTAGCGAATGAGTGGTAAAGTCACTGAACATTGGTAGTTCGACTTGGGACCAAAGTCCAGCGAACGGGCTAGCTGCATGGGAGTTTTCGTGGTTTTCACCATATGCAGTGCTAGCTAGTTAGTTAGTTACCTTTAGGATGTCCTTAATGTAGGCATTTTTACCCTTAGGCAGATAACCTTCATGAGCTTTACTGCAATTCAATTCGACTCTTTCGCGGCTTGTCATATTTGTAGCATGACCATATTTCCCTTAAAAAGTACTTTGTAAAGTCATACTTAATTTTGGAAGGTAGCCATAGCTATGCTTTAATTTTAAATTAGCAGTCAGTCCATTTGTAATAATAAACAGAATTTTAATCAAATTTCTTCAAAGAGAAAACTGGTTAGAATTTAATTTCTCTTTGCTCTGAATTAACTTCATTCTCAAACTTTTAAAACATCAAAGTTTCCTTCTTTATAGGAAATTTAGGATTATTTAGAATCTCTTTCAAGAAACCTTGGAACAAAGTTAGAAATACTACACTTCAAGTGGTGCTTTCTTCTGCTGATTTTTTAATTATAGAAAATTTAAAAAAAAAAAAAAATTGTTAAAATATACGTTTTCTTTTACAACTAAAAATATTCTTTTTCTAATTATACAGCGAACTGCGGATAATATTAAAAGACAGATGTTATTACATTTACACGTATTTTATCTTCTTAAATTAGGCTTAAATTCTTTTAGAGGTTATAATAACGGCTTAGTTTTCTTGGTCTTAATCCTTGACATATATTTTTCGCTGCTACATTATTTTCAAAATTTATGGAATTATCTCATAAGCTGCCAGGCTTGCAATTCCTCATTTTTTCTAATGGCAGATAATAAACATAACACTTAGCAAATAAAGACATTTTGAAAGAATTTTAGAATAAGTTTGGACTTGCGCGATTCAGTATAACTGTGTGTGTATTCATTAAATTTATTTTGATGCGTGCAGTGTTATTTAATGTATATTTATGGTAAATAAAATCTTCTTTAAAATAAATATAACTATTTACATGAAAATTTTACTTTTGTTAACTGTTTTTAATTGAAAGATTAAAATAGCGTAGTCCTGTAATAAAAAAATGAGATATATCACTTCGTAGAGACAATAGGTATTTTTTGGAAGCAGGAGGGATGAAAAATATGCAACGCCCTCGCCAGAACTCGAACCACGGACCTCTCGAATACGCACCGAGTGTGCTGGCCATTACACCACGAAGGCATGCTAAGAAGGCGGGAGAAATACCTTATATTCTCCTCCTTTTAAAAAGCGACTGGGGATTAGGGGACTCAGTTCGCCAAATCCTGATGGTGGAAAATCATCATCCACCACCTTTTTTAGTTCGGGTGCCACAGTAGAGACATTAGGTATTCTTTTGGAAATAGGAAAGATGAAAATTGTGCAATGCCCTTACCAGGACTCGAACCACGGACCTCTCGAACACTCGCTGAGTGTGCTGGCCAGGCGTGTGCACACTACAAAGGCATGCTAAGAAGGCGGGAGAAATACCTTATAACTTGCTAGATCTCCTTCGTAAAATTGCATCATACCATTAGTTCAAAAGAAACTCCTCGTCATTGTTAATAGCTGCTGCTAAAATGATTTACGTCTGAATTTAATATAGGTAATTATGTGATTTGAAAATAAAGATCATTGGTGTTTATGGTAGTTGCTTAGGCAGAAGAATTGATGTTAACCTCAAATTAAATTTTCTATTTGTAATTAATTTTAACCAATTAGTGATCACAAATATAAATATGGTTTCAGAAATAAAATGGGGAAAATATTACCACAGCATTAGACACGTAATTGATCTTGAGTTCCTCTTCTGTGAGAATTTGTTATGAGATCTACCTCGAAGCAAATTTTCATGAAGATTTCTCCATAGGAAGCAAGAGTAGCAAACAACAATGGAATATTCTGTGTTACTGAAAAATAAACCACAGCAGTTAGGCAAAATGCATATTTTTTTCTTTTTAAAAATATTTCAGTTCTCAGTATTTCACAGATAAAAAGCAAAGCTGTCAGTTGGAAATGTTATTACTTCTTAGTACAGCCACGTGGGAAACCAATCGCCGTGTAATACTTGTAAACTGCATTTTACGTCATAGATTTAAGTAAAACTGTTTGACAAAGGGTAAGACGAAAATCTGATTCGTTATAAATAACGTTTAAATTTCATCCCCTCTCGAATTATGGGATATAATTCGTTGCCCAATGGAAAGAAATCTCCCGGTCGCCGAGTTGTCCGGCTTCATTTCCAGGATCCTCCCACCCCTCCAAGCAACAGATTTTATCATGACATATTATTTTCGAGTTGAGAGATTATCATGACGCATTGCAGGGCCCGAGGCTTCTATAAAAGCCGTTTCAAGAGCTACATGGACCACTTCAAGTCATCCATCAGTTGCTCAAGTCCATCTTTGTGTTCCTCTTCAGTCTTCAAAATGCTGCAGGTGAGTATAGTTTAGATTTCGTTTTCCTTGCTTCTCAATAGATTCAGAATTTTTTGGCATGTGAGAAAAGGTTGAAGGCAATATTTGGCCGTACTTCTAAACCATCTCTTTAATTTATTTAATGATGTACATATAAACTGTTTAAAATAATATGGGTCTATTGAACATTTTAACCAAAGATACTTTGCATCGTAACTAGTAATGTTGCTAGATAGACAACACTTTTGATGTATATTTTAATTAATTTATCGAATCCAATCTTATAGTTGGAGAAAAATCTTATAAAGTTATAAGAGGAGAAACATTTCAGCATTAATAAGTTTGTTGAAATGATTTTGCAGGTATACTACATTACCTTTAGCTTTATTTTGTTTTTTCCCGTACATATCATGAACATGGTTACACATTTCTACATCCCTTCTAGTGGCATTGCTAAGAAACCGCTCTCATGGGGAAAATGAATCCAAAACTTGCTATCATGCTAATTACACTACTACAAAATTCATTTTCTGTGCGAAAGTTTTGTGACTGCAATTGGCATTCAGATCGCCTATTATATCAGCAATTTACTTTCTGGTACCTTTTGCTGTTTCTAGTAAATCACAAATAAATTTTTTACTCATATGTTTACTGCAGTCATGTTTATCTCTTGTTTTTTTAAGAGGAATGTTAGTATTTACCACAAAAGAGCAACTAATTCATAAAATTTGGAATTTTTAATTTAGAAATTCCAGACTATGCTAATTTTGTTAATAAACAAATGAGATTTGTAATTATTTTCCTGCTACATTAAAGATCTTGATAATGACAGATATGGCATTAAGTAATCTGAATCGTAACATTAATTTGTTTAATTTTATCATTTCTAGCTGATTAAGAAATGTAAATACTTTTGTAGACGATCTACTGTATTTGTCCGAAGATGATTTTATCATTTAGAAAACGATAATTTTATTATTACCAAGTCTGCCGAGGGAATAACTCATTTTACCTCCAGAGCGACATTTAGATAAAACAGCTTTTTTTATCCGAATGAAATGGGGAAGAGTGATTTCGCATAAATCTTTCGTTCCGATTTATCTTATAATTACTTTCAGTATTTAAAAGTAAAGCTAAAACGTTTATACATTCTTCAAAGTATTTTTAGGCAAGGTTAAAATATTGTTAACTATATATATACACAAGGGGTATTTTCTGGCTTTAGTCTGCATACCTTCGTGGTGTAACGGTAGCACACTCGGTGCGTATTCCAGAGATCCAGGTTCAAGACCCGGCGAGGGCACAACTCTTTTGCCGTGTTTCCTACTTCAAAAAACCTAATGACCCTATAGTGGCGCCCGAGCTAAAAAAAGGTGGTGGATGATGATTCTTCACCACCAGGATTTGGCGACGGGGTCCCCTAATCCTCAGTCGCTCTTTAAAAGGGGGGTATATAGGGTATTATCTTCCTTCTTGGTGTAACGGTAGCAAAAGTGTTTACTTATCACACATTTAAAAAAATTTAGCAGTCTCATTTTAAAGATTTTCATTAAATTCAATTCTAGCCTTTGCTTAAAACAAAATACCTAAACGGTCATGCTTGTTTTCACAGATAATACAGAAATAAGTTTTAATAGATCATTTTTGTTTCAAATGTTAATTCTTCAACATATTTTATTATTTATTTCAATATACATTAAGCATCTGAATTTTCATTTTTAGCTTTTACTTTCAGTTTGGGATACAAAGTTAGCTTTGGCGATTGTTAGTGACGTTTAAACATTATTGGCGATAAGTTTTCATTGCAATACTGAAGCAAATTACCCTATTTTATTAGTTATCCCCTTTTTAATTGTCGCCAAATATGTATTCTACCAAAATTTTCCAATTTCTTATACCCAACTGATGATTTATGAAGCTCCTGAAAGTTAAATGCAACTCCTGAACTTAAATTCCCGAAACATCAAATTTTACAATAAATAAACAAAAGTATAAAATAGATGTTGCAATACATTCTGAGCGTAGTTTTGTAGTCCTATGAGGAGTTTTTTGATTGGCAACAATATGGATGATATTACTGAAATGATTCTGGAACTTTAGACTTAGAGTTACTTGTGGGATATAAAGAGATTTTCTAAATTTTCATATTTTTCATTCATTTTTTTAAAAAATTACATATAATTAATTGCTCACCAGTGATGATAATTTTCATTACGCGTTTTACCGCAGCTATGGCAAATTGGCGTTTTCGTTAAACATGATAATTTTCAAAAAATTGAAACATAAAATAATAAAAAAAAAAAAATCATAATTATCGAAAAAAATTTATTTCCTTAGTGCTAGTTACAGGAAGTCTATATTAAAAAATTAAATATTACGTTTATTTTACACTATACAAAATACGTATGTAACAATATTATCGTTGACGAGAACGATGCATATAGAAAATGAGCAATTCCATCTTTCTACAACAAAATGAGCTTCAAGTGGGTAACTCAAAGGAAAAAATTGCGCGCATGCACGCACATACATATAAAGAGCGGTTAAGATTTTAATGGTCGCCCAAAAGGGTTTGTTTGGGTTTTTTTAATGCTTTCGCTCAGCTCGAAGACTACCACTCTGCTGTTGCACTGGTTTCAGCTACCCCCACCTTTTATATCTTTGTAGTGTTATTATTAAGCATAATTTTCTTCGCACTTACGCCATATATTCAGCAGCAAGATAACAAAAATTTTAAAAGCAGCATATGTTTAGAATTCTCGATGCAGTGCTCAGTGATGTCACACATTTTCCTATTTTTTGGTTTCAGTTCATCATATTAATGTTCAGTTTTCTTAGTAAGATGGCTTGCAAAACACTTTTTCTGTCTTTTTATTGCTAACTTTATTTGAGTTTGTTAATCAGAACTTCATTAAATTTGTACAAAATGTGAAATAGATAATATATATATCCTCATTGTATGAAAATACTGAATATTTTTAATTAGATATAACGTGAATTCAATGAATTTTTGTTTTTTAAATCAATCCGATTCAGAAGTAAGAGACGAATGTATTAAGAAGTACACCTATTGCTTTGAAATAGCTTAATTTGTTAATTCACAACAGACAGATTAAATTTAAAAGATAATTATTATCTTACATTTTCTTGAATAGCAAGACTCGAGTGAAAAGTGAAATGATGCCCTTACAGCGATTTGTCGCAAAGTCCAATTTTGAGACTAATAGCTCTTTCTGGACTAGAAAAATGCTGCCGGTCATTTTCGGACAAAAAGTGTTTTAGTAGAATGAACAGTTATATAATTGTTTTTAAAAAATATTAGGTATATTTAGAAAGCCCGGTTAGTTTCTGATGTGCTGTTACTTGCGTTTTTACATTTAACCTGGTTCAAATATTTATAATTTTTGTATTAAAGATTCGCTATCAGTGACGCATCTGCGAAAAGAGCAAACGCAATTTTTATTACGAGAATAAAATATACATGTATTTATTAATTTAGAAAATTATGTAACTATACAATCTCTTATATACATCTCTTTATCGCTTTATATGTATTATTAATCTTATAAGAATAAATTGAATTTAATTTAAAAAAATTAAATTTAAATACATATTTAATTAAATATTCTTTGCGCCATTGCTGCAAGGAATGAAATTTAAACAAATTTAAATTTAATTTTTAACAAATACGTATAAAAGTAAAAAAGCAAATTTAAATTCTAAAAAAAGGAAAAAAGGCCAAAATAATTTTTAAAAAAATGTGCAAACATATAAAAGATTGTGCAAACATGTCACTTGATTTGCTTATGCTTCTGAATTTAAATGATATTGTAGATTAGTTCGAGAATTAAATCTTTTACACGTTTGCACATTTTTTTTTTAAAAATTATTTTGGCTTTTTTCCTTTTTTTAGAATTTAAATTTGCTTTTTTACTTTTATAAGTATTTGTTTAAAAATTAAATTTAAATTTATTAATCTTATAAGATATTACCCCGCCTTCTTAGCATGCCTTCGTGGTGCAATAGTCAGCATACTTGGCGCGTATTAAAGATTTCCATGGTTCGAGTCCCGGCGAGGGCATTGCTCATTTTTCATCTATTCTGCTTCAAAATACGCTAATTACTCTACAGTGGTGCATGAACTAAAAAGGTGGTGAATGATGATTCTTCACTACCAGGATTTGGCGACTGGGTCCCCTAATCCCCAGTCGCCGTTCAAAAGGGGGAGTATATAAGGTATTTCGCCCTGCCTTCTTAGTATGCCTTCGTGGTGCAGTGGTCATCACTCTCGACGCGTATTCGAGAGGTCTATGGTACGAGTCCCAGCGAGGGCATTGCTCATTTTTTCACCTCTCCTGTTTCGAAATAATCTAATGTCTCAACAATCTCTTCATAAAGTTATCCAATTAATGAAATTATTTATTATAAAAACAAAAAAATAAAATACAAGCCCCCTTCAAAAAAATCTGAGAAGGTTTCAAATTTTAGATTACGTCCAAAGGGGCGTTTTTTTAACGTTTTGTGTTTACCTTTATTTATTAAACATCATGTTCTTGCACTTAAACCATAAAATTCAGTTCAGTAGCAATGTCGCAAAATAATTTTAAAATGAGCCTACCTTTAGAATTTCGATACACAGTTTCGCGCCCGCTGGAGATAAAAAGGTTTTCTTTCCCCGCCGTAGAGTGTTGCCATTGCTCGCTTTTAAATCGTTTAGTTTGTTACTCAAAAATTCGTTAAAGTTTTACAAAATATGAAATCGATAATATAACAAATTCCAAATTTCAAATTTGGTCATCCACATGCCCATTTTCGTAGGAGGATTACATCATTCAAAATTCGATGGCTCTATGTACCGTTGTTTTATCTCAATGGGAGGAATAGACATACATTTATGCAGATTTTGCATTATTTAATTTCTTCAAATATAATGCAGGACTCTAACATTTGGTTGCAACAGTGTGAAAAGTGAAACGGACATTTATAGTGATTCAACGCGAACAATAATCCTTCAGGAACAAAGCCCCTTTGAAGTAATTATCTGACAGGAACAGAAGTAAACTTGAATTTGGATTTCCTTTCTTCTAAATTTTCGGTTTTTATATGTCTGCTGCAAAGACATCTGAAGTTTTATGCTTTAATTAACGCAAGCCCCTACTTGTGTGAACTGTCAGTAATTAAGGAAGTACTGATAAGCAAAACGTTAATTTGCCTACATATTAAAATTAGATTTAAAACAAAAATATTATGCAAGAGAGCTTAAATGCACCAAACCTCCAAATCCCTCTGTAAAAACTACACTTACATTAATTTTTCTACTTTTATATATATAGTGTTGTTACTATTTTATACTTGGGTATAGAAAGTGGAAGAATGAAATTTGCTATTCTTTATGTTTGTCCCTTTTTAACCTACTTTATAACTGCAGATTGAGCCATCAGAGAAATTTGTCAAATTTCATGAAGCTATGGGCACCGAATTAACCTTATTAAAACTTCATTAATATTTCAAAATATATAATCTCTACAGTTTTCGTGTGTTTCTCGAAAGCAGAGAGTTAAAATTTAATGTTGCTGGAAGTTTATGTTCTAATTAAATTCACTGCCTACCTAAGAGCAAAATTTCAAATTGATCCATTAACAGTTGTTTTGCATAAATGGGAAAACAAGTATTTACCCAAAGTTTATCTTTTATATGTTATTATATTTATGAACAATATTGTATGCAAGCGCAATCCATGTAGGTTTTCTACCTTTATAGAACATCTGCGAAACTTATTTGATAAGAAGGATTACTATGAAACTAATATAGATCTCAAGCTGATTTATTAATCAAATCACAAACCTACGTAAATGTAACATGTAATGATGTTTTCTCTGCTTTCAATATGTTATCATTGTAAAGACCTGTGTATCTGACTCGGATGTCGAACTCATGAATTCCTAATAAGTGATTTCTTAACTTAGTCAAGACCATTAACCAGCTAAGTATAACATCTGCTTAACAATGACATCCACATAATTTTGTTTTTATTTAAATACTGCTTTAAAAGTTTTTTAAGAAGTTGTAATTTTAAATTCTCGATTATTATTCTTACTTTTGTATAATTTTTTGGCATTATTAGATATTTTGGAACAGAAAATAAAACAAATACTATATGACCTTATAATGTTCCAACCTAGAATTTACAGCTAAATGTGGAGAACCTTATGAACTGGTAAGCGAATAATCGCTTAGTTCAGAAAGATGGAAACATAAACGTACGAAGGATTAATTATCCTTTATTATTCAAAATAATTCTAACAGATGATCCTCTCTCAGGACGTATAGAAAAGCCTCTACTTGGGCTTGAACTCAAGAATGCTAAGAAATAAAACTTAACTAAACTTAACTAAAGAGGTATAGCCGAAGCTATCACAATTTTACAGGAGTTGTCCTCTTAACGCTAACTAAACTATCATTGCCAGCTATGCCCATCCCTTCCTAAAAGGCTCACCTATTAGGCCATAAAGTGACCAACACTTCTGGCCTTATTTGTGGCCAAGTCGAAGTCGTGTGTGCTATTGCCAACTATGATCGTCGCTGCATAGAATGCAAAGGTGGCTCACGTATTAGGTGCCTCCATATTAGACCATAAAGTGACCAGCACTTCTGGCCTTATTTGTGGCCAAGCCGAAATCGGTTGAGGGCTTGCCTTTGGGGGGGAACTTTGTTCTGTTGTATATTATGATAGTAGCAGTTACTCTTACAGATATTCGACAGTAGTTCGGGATAATTAGGTTCATAAATTAGCAAACTAAAACTTTCAAATATCGACAATACTCTGTTCTGTTATACATTATTATAATAGTAGTTAGTCCTGGCAGTTATTCGACTTCAGTTCAAAAATTAACAAAGTAAAATTCTCAATACCCAGTAATATCCTCAGTAATATGTTGCATATCATTAAACTAGAATTATACTTATAATTTATATGAGGATAATTCGGTTGATAATATAAAAAACTAAAATTCTCAAACTTTAATAATATTCTGTTCCGTTATACCTTATTAAGGCAGTGAATATTCTTATAAGTTATTAGGAATAATTTAGTTGATAAATTAACAAAGTGAAATACGCAAACACGAATAATATTCGGTTCTGTTTGATATTATCATGGTGGTAGTTGATGGAACTATCATTGAACTAATAAACATTTTTCAACAATACAATCTGCGTGTATTGTATCATTGATTTTATTTGTTTTTCTAATTCAACAGCTTTTTTTCTTCGCAATCACTCTTGCGGTTATTGTATGTCCTAAGGCTGAGGCCGCAAGTCCTCTCGAACAAAAATTTCTGTTTAAAAGAAATGACAACATAAAGGTGTGCGGCAGAATGCTGACACAAACCCTGGCCATTCTTTGCGAAGGAGAATATTACCATCCAAAGGAAAACAGTTCTAGAACATACAGGCCACAAAAAAGGAACTACGGAACGGAACCAATCGAAATTGGTAAGAATTTTTATATTCATTATTATTGTAAGGTTTCAGGATCACTGTGTTAACTTAACTAAGATGTGAATTTAAGCTTAATTAGCGACTCACTCCAATGTAGAAGCTGTAGCAAAGCTTTGGCTCGAAATTACAGATATGAATTTGAAATAAAGATCGGACACTTGCATATCTCATCTCTCTGAAACAGTTGTTTCTCTGTCAAATAATCCCCAATATTGAAAGCAAGAATAATTCTTAGCAGAAATATAAAACATAAAAGACAAAGGTTAATAACACAAGACACTTTTCGACCCTGAAAGGAAAGCTTAATCTAAAAAAAAAAAAAAAAAAAAAAAAAACCGCATTTATTAGTTTACAGAAAAGATACCGTATTTCATCATAATAACGTATGACGACCATATGGTAAGAGAAACGTTGAAAACGTTAAGACAAATGCTAAATTTTGATTTTTACTTCATATTCTCCCTATCTGAAACCCGTAAATACGAATCAGTTTCCCCTTAGAATGCCTTGAACAAAGGCATCCCCTTTTAGGCTATAAAATCTAGTCCTCTTAGGAAGCATACACTATAGGCTTTAAAAAGGACTATTGAAGAATTATCTTTTAACCTTATGAAACTAAACAAAAGTCAGAAGAAAGGTGCATAAGACTCTTTTATTCGAACACAACGTAACAATTTACCCAACTTGAGTTTACACAAGCCAAACACTTCTGGCTTAACAGAAATACGTAATGATTCACAAATTCAAAATGTTGTAGATTAACGTAACAGCTTACAGGATAATGTAACGCGCAGGCAAGGCTCTGGTTTGTAGAAAACCGGCGAGACAAAGCTAGATGGCTAGAAGCATTCAAAACCACTAAATTAAGTCGCTAGTAATCACAGCACAATGTGGCCTGGAATATGCAGACACGCTCTAAAGCTAACTTGAAACTCTTGCTTAAATAGCACTTTTTTCTACCTTAATCTGAATAACCGCTCGCTATCTCATTTACATTCTGGCATGAAAAGCGTGGGTGAAAAGAGTAATAGGAAAGTTCTAACTTAAAATGAACTATTAGTTAAAAATTAATAGATTATAACGTTGCGCGCCTCTAACTAGCACGCAACCAAGAGGTGACTGTGAAAGCTTGTATAAACCACAGAGTCTTATAAAGGGTTTAAGTCCCTTTTTATTCAACGTACTAATTTACAATTGCGTTCTCTTGACGCTTACAAACGGTGCCAACTCGGCAGTCAAATAAAAATAAAAACCTGAAAAGAAAGTAAAGACAATATTCTAACTACGAGGCTCTCTAAAATAACTAACTCACCGCGTTTTACAATACCGCTGCTAATTCAGCAGACTTGAAGCTCACTGGAACAATTGCAACTACTTCCCGCCAAGCACATAGGCCGCAACGCGGGGTTCTTTCAATTCTCGATAACTACCTCCGCGCTCGCTAAGTAAGAATAACTCTCTCACCGAACTTGTTTCCTTCTATTTAAATCATACTACTTCCGCTGATAATTTGAATGCTTGCGCGTTCTACTCAAATTTACATATTCTGGCATTGGCAGTTCCAGGGGAAAGTAAGGATTGACAGGAAAGATAGTTTAAACTTAAAATAAATGTTAGTTAAAATAAATATAAACCCTACATTTGCCGCTGCCAGAATTTGGAAAACTTGGAAGCAGGTCCTACAAACGACCTGTTGTAAGTTTATCTAATTCTGAACTAACTGGCGAAAGCCTCGTTTACACAAAAAAAATCTTATGTAACAATTAAAATTCTGTTACTCTTTACAAAGCTTTCTTCTTCTTACAGCAACTTTTCCTGGACTTCATCAATCAATCTTGGTCTTTCCTTCCAGCATCTGGAAGGAATAAGTATCAGTATCTTTCTACATACATTATAATTTACACTTTCTTGACACAATAAATTTTTGTTTTTAACGATTCGTTTTTCTTAGTTATTGCTTACTTCACATTCATTCAATTTTTCAAGCATTAATTTAACTTTACCCTGGCTCTCCACCGTGTGTGGTGTCAAACGGGAATATTCGTGTTTTAGTCTTACAACACTTCCCCTAACCACCATGATTTGTTAGAATTCAACAACCAAATAGACACACCTTACTCGACATTCTACAACTCAATGAGCTACTTTAATATTCTTAAAAATTCAAATGTAGGTGGAGAACCCTACAAAAACACATTCATTCTAACTTCCCCCTCATTCATCTTTAAAACATGCAGGCTTTCGCTCTAAAGCATGACTTTACAGTTTAATACTTAAATTTTGACTTCATTGCTTTTAAGCATTCACTTTTAGCATCTACAATTTTATGCTTCTAGACTAAATTCTACTTTTACATAACATGCAAGTATTTACATACATTTACAAAAGTTTAATACATATGCTTTTTACAATTTACCATAAAATGAATAAGAGAAAATAAATTTTTACTTTACTCATTCTTCGCCAAGCTGGCGGCACTGAAACTAAAATTCTTATTAGTACATACAAGAATACGAAGTTATTTTTATCTCCGGCCAAATTTTGGCTTTAACATAACAGAATTAGTCTTTCGACCAACAGAAAATGCTTGTTTTTAGCTTTTACACTTAAAGAAAATAATACTTTTGCCTTAGCTAAATAAAGTAAAACAAAACTAAGTCTCAACCGAGACATATTGACTTTCGTCAAAACATAGAACTTCGTACTTACTTATGCATAACATTTCGGAACAAAAGAGAAAAAAATTTATAGAAGGTTTTAACTTATCTTTGAGTTTTCGATGCTTGAAACTCCGTCATCCGTTTTTGACAAAATTGATCCCAAGTTAGAGGTTGTCATGGATGTCAATCTTCTCCTTATTGATCTCCGAGTGTCGTCCCCGTTGATCTTTCTTTTTGCGTCCTCTACATGCTGGCCTCTTGACGGAGTAATCGTCTGGTTGTTGGCCTTTGCGTTTCTGCCTGGGACGGCTGGTCTTGACGTCCTCCGGTCTGGAGTCCTTCTTGAATTTCTTCTGTTCCTCGTACTTTTGTGCTTCTCCTGTTGGCGTTTCAGTTTCCGGAACGGCGGCCTTGCTGGCACCTGACTCTGTGGCCGTGTGCGCGTTCTCCTTGATGTGTAATTTCTCCTGCCATCCTTTGTAGGTGGTGTTTTTCTCTTTACCACGGTTTCTTTACCCGGTTCATCTGTATTTTGTTTTTCTTAAACGCCGGAGTTTGAAAATAATCATTTTTCTTTTTGATACCGACGTCCGGGTTGTAGAAGTGCTAGGTCTCTCTTCAGTTCTCCGTTTCTTGGGTGGTGGGGAATAGTTGTTGCAGTCTCTGGCCCTTCTATTTCGTTTAGACTTGAGTCCTGCAAGAAACTTTTAAGGATTTCAAAATCATTTGGATTATAGTATTTTTTCACCTGGTCGGGACTTGCTTTACAGATTTCCCCTCTCTCGTTTTTAAGATATAAAACTACTCCTTTGATTTCCTGAATTACATAGGGGCCTTCAAACTTTGGAGCTAGCTTTGCCATAAAATTGTCTGGGGCACTTGATAAAGAAAATTTCCGTTTCAATACTTTATCCCCAACTTTAAAATCTGCTTCACGGCGTTTTTTATCGTAATAAATTTTTCTGCCTCTATTTCTTGCCGTATCCGAGGTTTTAAGCGCCTGATCAATTAGTTTTTTGCACGTCCTTTTGTTTAAATTCCTGCTCTCTTTGTTGCACAAAGAATAATTTATCTAAAGGCGTAATTAACTTTCTGCCTAAAAATAATTCTGCTGGAGTTTTTCCCGTAGTATCATGATGTGCCGTTCTTAAAGCATAAGCTAATTCATTTATGTAGCCATCCCAGCGCTTGTGATGTGTGCTAACGTAACTGCGAATTATTTTTACAATGTTTTTATTAACTCTTTCTGCTATGTTAGCCTGTGGTCTATACGGAACCATTTTGATATGGCGTATATCCAAGTCCATTGCATATGTTTTCAAATATTTGACTAATGAATTGTTTTCCGTTATCGCTAATGACTTTTATCGGTGCACCGTATTTTAAAATGTATCTGTGTAAGAATGCATCTGCGACTGTTTTGGCTGACGCGCGTTTAAGTGGAACAATTTCTATCCATTTTGAAAAATGATCTACTATTACTAAAAGAAAACGATTTTTATTTAACTCGCTCTGGGGGAAGGGACCAAGGAGATCTATGCCTAAAATTTCATTCGGAAATGTAGCGCGAATGCTATTTAAGTACCCGGCCGGGCTGTAATTAATATCATTTATTAACTGACATTGATTGCAGGACCTGACATACGCCGTTACTATTTTGTATAATTGCGGGAAATATACCGCCTCGCGTACCCTTTTTAAAGTCTTTCTGACCCCGAGGTGGCCCGCTGTTTTTTTTTCGTGCAACTCCTTCAAAATGCTTAATCGAAGCGAGGCTGGGATGACTGGCTTATACTCAAGATTTTCGTTTGTTGTTTTCGTATAGAATAATAAATTATCTATTATTTCATAGTTTTTTGCTCTATTTCTTATCGCATCGATATCTGTATGCTCAAAGCTTTCGGGGTCTTTCAAATAAGCATAGATATTTCCAAATTCAGGATCAGCTTTCAGTTCAGTAATAACCGTATCTCTAGAATCTAAAATTTTTGAAGTCAACACAGCGCATTTAAGTTCATTACCTTCATCGTCCAGTTTTATACGAGAAAGTGCGTCAGCTACATTGTTTTCCTTACCCGGTTTATATTTTATTGTGATATTATATTCTTGGAGTTTTAAAGCCCATCTTATTAACCTGGGCGTTAGGTTTTTTCCCGAGTAAAGTCTACCAACAGCCGCATGATCCGAAAAGACTGTTACTGGCGATTTGCCGAAATAAACTCGAAATTTGTGTACAGCCATTAATACGGCTAATGTTTCTCTTTCTGTAGCTGTATAATTCCTTTGTGTTTGATTCAATGTTTTACTAAAAAATGCCAGCGGATGGTTATTTTG